ATCATCTGCATCTGCCTGAAAGGTACTTAGATTGAGATTCAGTCTTATGCATTTGAGTTGACTTCATTAGTGCTAGATTGGACATACAATTGTCAAAATTAGAAATATATATATAATTTTTTTAAATTTAAAATTTAAATTTTAATAAAATTTTAAATGATTTTTAAACAAGTACAAATGGAGTTAAATTTCGTAAGCAAGAAAGTTATAAAGAGAGGAATAATTTGGTAGAGTAATAAAAATTATCCTTTGGGTAATATATGTCATTACATATATTAATGTATATTGCTTCATCATGCTTATAAATATCTCTTATAAAAATTCAGAAAGCAAAGTTACCAACTTACTCCCTTAAAAGTAATCTTTCTCCCCTAGTCATGGGTGTGAGAATTTAGCTCCCTTTTAGCCCAAACACATTATTACATAACAAAGAAGAAAAGAAGATTAGGGGGAAAAGCTTCTCAGTAGAGGCCAGGAGCCTCTCCAAACTGAATTTTAAGTGCTTCTTCTGATGTAGGTTTCCTCTTTTTCATTAAAAAAAAGAAAAAAGAGTATTAAGGAAGTAACACAAGCATAATAACTGTTCACACAGCCCCTTTCAAGATATTCTTAGTGGTTTGCATTTTTCAGGGCCTCGTGTTTGATAGTGGAAAAGAACTGATGCAGATGGTGGAGAAACAAATTCAGTGGAAGTTGCTGCAATGAGCAATATGGTATAATCTTGGACACAATGTTGTCATTGTGTTTGATGCATTCATTCATTTGCGGATGCATTCATTTGCAAATTACACGCAGCTCATATCCCTTTTGAAACTAAGAATATGTCATTCCAGGAAGGTCAGCACATCCACGACCCACTAGATTCTTTAAAAGCCTGTCCCAGCTCTGGTTTCCCCTCCCCCTTTTCATTTCCTTTGAGAGGCTGGAAGCGCCTCAGTGAGGAGAGTGTGGGTTCCTGCAGAGCAAGAAGGTAATTCCTCAACTACACATGACTGTACATTCTCACTACAAGTATTTCATTGCAAATTACGACTCCATTCAACTACAAATTAGTGAAGTTAACCACAAATTTTTGGAATAATCTTGGGAGACAGCAGATTTACTTGGATTACATTTATTTTGTCATAATGGATATTCAATAAGCAGGGATGAGAACACATACTTAAATAAATAGCTGCTTTATTAATGAGAGCAGAGATATTCTTGTTGTGAGGCAAAAGTAATAATTTGTGGAAGAGCCAGCCATGCATGGTGGTGCACACCTATAATCTCAGGGATTTGGAAGGCTGAGGCTGGAGGATCTCAAGTTGAAAGCCAGCCTCAGCAACTTGACAAGGTCCTGAACAACTTAGGGAGACCCTTCTCAAAATTAAAAAAAAATTGTGGAAGAATATGAGAAATAGGGAGAGCAAAGAGATCATATGAAAGAACCACAAAAGGAAACATTGGCAAATGAAAACTGAATTCTCCAATAATCAGGAATCAGCTTGATCTTTGACCCAAGCTTCATGGTTTCAGTTTAGATTGGACAGGGTGTCATACCTGCTGTATGACAATACTGAGCCTTAGTTTTAGAGGGGAATGAAATCTGCAATGAGCTCACAGTTGACAAAGCCATCTGGGCACAGTGAAGGTGGGTTGTGCAGGAAACAGCTTGATAATAAAATCCATGAGCTGAAAGTTGAAGAAATGGCTATTATATCTCCATTCCAGCATCCTGTCCTTTCTGTCACACTCTCTTCAAATTCACTGAAGTCTCCTTATACATTAATTAAGTGTATGATCGACTTGATTTTGGTTTCTCATATTTTGCATGCTATTTAACACCTGAGCTTTGTGCCTTACCCAGACTAGCTGTGTAATGGCTCCTTTGAATATAGGTGCCATCAACAAGTCTTGCACATTAGACTTGCTGCTATATCAAGTTTGCCTACCTTATGGAAGGGAATATCTTCTGTGTCTAACACTGCTCACTCTGTAAACTATCGTTGTACAATATCAAAAACTCTATTTTCTTTATTTTTAGGGACAGCAGACAATAAGTGTGTATGTCAAAATGTAATATATAATAATTCTCAAGATATTGTATGGACAAAATAGGGAAATATTATCAAGAAGGGTACTAGAGGGATAAGTAATTGTTTGCAAGAGCCATTAAAGACTTAATTATTTTTACTTCCATAGGGAAGTGTCTAGTTACTTGCCTCTTAACTTTATCATCACCCCTGATATATGCATTGAATTGAAATGGTAAAAGTATTTTTTTTTGGCCAATGTTACAGTGTTATGACATCTTTTTCTTACTTTCTTCAAATAATGATCCCCAAATAGCAAGCCTCTCCTATGGAGTTGGCATTAGTATATATTTTCTTTAACCTTCATGCTGGAATATAATATGTATGTATGAAAGGGACAGTCTTTCTTTCTTTTGATGTTCTTAGCCATTTAGAAGATTACCAGTCAGGTTTTCTTGTAGACTATTCTTCAATCTGATTTGCAAGAGGTGTTTCTCCTGATTAGCCAGAGGTTGTACGAAGAATATTACAGATATGAGGTACCTTTTCATCACATATTATTGGGATGTGTGTGAAATCAGTATGACCTACCACTGATAATATTAACACTAAACACTTGATTAAAGTTGTGTTTCCTAGGTTTCTTCACTAAAAAGCTACTGTATTTTTTCTTTTTTTTGGATTTGAGTTTATTACTCAAAAAAGGTCTATTGAAGTCCTAGGTCCAAGTACTTGTAAATGTAACCTTATTTGGAAGTAGGGTCTTTGATGATTTAATCAAGTTAAGATGAGGTCCTCAGGGTGGGCCCTAATCCAGTATGAGTGATGTCCTTAAAAAAGAGGAAAACACTACATGAAATGTCAGTGCAGACACAGGAAAATGTGACAGTAGCCGAGTTGGAGTGATACACCCGCAAACTGAAGATTGACAGGCAGCCTGGCAGCTAGGAAGAATCAAGAAAGCATTCAAAACTTTGGACAGAGCTCTGCACCCTCTCTTCATTTCAATTAATCATCTAACAATGATGCTTAGGCATGAAACAGTGGAGACATTGGAGGACCACCATGGAACAATGTTCTGTCTTGAAGCTGATCAAAAAATTCTCATCAAGGACAGGAATAAAAATATTCTCATTCACATTCCATCAAATAACACTGCTTTATATGATGCCCAAGTCATAACTGTTTTTTTGAAACCCTTTGCTTAGTATGGTATTCAGTGAAAGAATCCAATAAAAATGTAGTTAGGCCTTTCATGTGGAATTCTCCAAAAGCATTCCATTTAACTTTAATTTGACAAATTGGCAGGCTGTCTTGGTTAAACCACTTGAACTTTTATCTATTTATAACAGTTTGAACTACAGTCCCACTTCTTTTCTCCTCTAGAAGGAAATAAGGGATAGTAGATTCAATCTATTTATGTGTAAAAGTCCCCAATTAAGCTGTGATTTCAACTAATTCGCCAAAGTAAGTTGGAGTTTCAATTCTGTTTGAGAAAGCTGATACATTTTATTTTCTCCCCTTCTCTCTCTGTGCCCTTCCTTCATTCTGCTTTCTTGCCTTTTGTTTGCTATCTTTCTCACTTTATTTTATTTATAAAAGAGGTCACATTTTATGGAACTAAGTGTATACACACATGCACACACACACACACACACTCATTTTAAGTTCATATTAAGTTGAGATAGAAAAGAAACATGTTGAAATGGAGAAGAAATCAGCTTTAAGTTGAAATAGAGAAGAAACGTGAAAGTTCTGTTTTTGCTACCCTGTTTGCAGCAATAGCACCTATTGTCTGAAGTTCTTGAGCATTTCATTAAATTTACTTTAAAATTTAATTATGTAAAATCAGTGCATTAGAGCTTGTGTAATCATCATGGCTTAGAAGATGATCCCTTAAGAATTGCACACTCAGGGGAGCTGGGAGGTTGCATTACCAATTACCAAAATATGCTTAATGCAAGCCCATTCTTCTTTCTACACATTGCAGAAGTTATTGGAAAAATTCCAAAACCTTATAAATATGTGTGACCTAAATTGTCCATTTAGCTTAGCAACAAACAAGTGTTTCCTGTTATATTATACAATGTTGGCCATCAATTACTTTAAAAAAGTATGCTGCTGTAGGTTTTACACAAGCATGCATACAGAAACTACAATATCCTATACATTTATCATATATTTAAAAAAATTAGACAGCTCCTGAAACATAGTCCTATATGAATACACACACACACACACACAGTATGTGTATATGGGGCTTCCCATGTAAATCATATATGACTGAAACAGTTCTTATTTTATATATGCTGTTACATGACCTTACATAGGTTTACCAATTTAATCACTTTTTTGATGGCTGATGATCATCACTTTTTAATTTAATCTCCAAGTCAAACTAGTGAATTTTTTTTTTTTTTTTGAGATGATTTTCAGCAAGTGGAAGCTTGGGATAGTGATACAGAGAAACTGTGATGATGATGCTCTAAGATATCAGAGAAAGAAATCTTGTTTTCTGGAATTCCTTTGTATTGTTCAGTATTATATTCTCAAGAGATTTAGTAAAGTGAGCAAGTGTAATATAAGGGTTCAGGGCATGCTGCCCCCCAGTATAATACCTTGGTATTTGAGGAAATAACAGAAGCAGGTGGATTGTTCTGACCTTCTCTCTCTCTCTCCTCCGAGGTAGGTCACAAGAGTCTGCTTGCTGTCACTCTCCCTGTACCTAGACACTAGCAATGTCCTGTCTCTAGGACACAGGGATAAAGAGGAATCTGAACCAAGGGGACTTGGTCATTCCTCTCTATCAACAGTAGATCAGACCTTGTTTGTCCAGTCTCATTCAGCACAACCGTCTGGTTTTCATTCAACCTTTGCATAAAAATTCACTTTTTCCTCTTTCTTTGGGTCTTCATTCTGATGACTCCCATATCTTGAAAAACTCAGATAAGTTTGTATGCTTTTCTCATTTGTCTTTTATTTTAGGTGCCTCCACCATGAACCTGGTGATGGATGAGGAAAGGAGTCTTTCCTGCCTTGTGTGAGCTCATATCCATTTTGTTGTTCAAGTATTTATTGTCTATAGTTTATTATTAAGAGTAGCCTTGGCTGTCAACCTCATAAGCCACACTGGAGGACTAAAGGAACCAGAGGAGAATACATGTAAGAATGAAATAGAATACTGTATCCAAAAGACTTAAAATCAACATGCTATAGTGATGGTGATTTTAAGTTTATGTTTATAGCAGCTAGATTCCAACAGCTAAACTATGGAACCAATCTAGGTGCTCTTTGACTGATGAATGGATAAAGAAAATGTCGTATATATACATAATGGAATATTACTCAGCCATAAAGAGAAATAAAACTATGGCATTTGCTGGTAAATGGATGGAACTGGAGACTCTCATGCTAAGTGAAATAAGACAATCCCCAAATACCAAAGGTGAATGTTCTTTGTGATATGCGGATGCTAACTCACAATGCGGGGGGGGGGGGGGCGGATGATTACACAAGGAAAAAAATTGAAGTACTTTGGATTAGACAAAGGGGAATGAAGAGAAGGGAGGGGGATTGGAAATAGGAAAGTTAATAGAATGATTCGGACATTACTCTGATATGTTAGTGTATATTTATATATGAATACCTGAACAATGTAATTTCACATCATGTACAACCAAAAGAATGAGAAGTTGTACTCCATATATGTATTATATGTCAAAATACATTCTACTGTTATAAATATAAAAAAGAATAAATAAATAAATTAATTAAAAAATAGATCCTAGTGCCAACAAATACCAGGGGTCCATGTAAGAAGCAGCCCACCATGTTTCTTTTTCCATTGGCTTGAATTTGTTTAACTGTAGAGGGAAAATTCTCAGTGCTTATTCAGAGAGATGCTAAAAGAAAGGCAGTGGTACCAAGGAGAAATTTTTCTTTCAGTTTGCTTATTTTGTTAAGGAAAAGCAATTAGTTGTTGCCTTTGGTTCAAGAAATAATCCAGTAGATGTGACATGCCTGCAAAAAAGACCAAAACATTGAGATTAATCAAAATTTATGAGATCACTTACTATTTTTTTAAACTGTTTCTTACTAGTTTTATCCTTGTCCAACTTCTTTGTTTAAAGTTTCCATCCTAAGAAATAGAGTTTCAAAATCTACCAGGTATCAAGCCATTTTGTAACTGAATCATATATTATAAAAATCTGACTATAGCAAGTTTGGACAGGTTATTTGAAAAATATGATATATATTTCTACATAATGGGAGATATGAAAAATGAGGAAAACAAAGAGATAATCTTCCTTCAAATTATTCCAAAATAAATTCTAAGTATTTTGAAATATTTGTAGTGGGAAAGAAATGTTATCAGTCTTGGAAGTCAGAGAGTTTTTTTTATTGCTTTCCTCTGTCCTTACAGGGGTGGAAAAGTTGACCCCACTTGTTGACGAGAGGAGTCCCAAAGTCACGTTGCAGTTGTGAGAGAAGAGTTGAGACATCCACTTTAGAATAATTCACATCTTTCCTCTTTTTACCTGTAAGCACTACTGTGTTTTAGACCCGTGTTTTATCACTTTTGCTGGGATGCTAAGGGCAATTACCTCCTACCTGGTCTCCCCAACATGTACCTTCCACATGGATGTAAGGGCAATGTATTTAAAATGAAAACCTATTCTTTATATTCCATTGCTCCACACCCTTCTAGCTTCCCTATAGAAGCAAGCCCTTCAACCTAGGAAGCTCTTCCTCATCTGTTAAACTTTCCAACCTATTTACACAGCACTTTTTAAAAAAAACTAGTTGCTCCCAGCTCTCTTGCCCTGCTCTTGGACATGTATGCAAGCCATGGTGCTGTGACCATTCCCTCGGTTGTATCCTTATTTTTTTTTTCTTGAGGATACCTTCCAGTTCTCTAGGATCAGGCGTTACCTCCCCAACCCAATTTACAACATGATTTCAAACTACCTTAGAAGTTTTCTTTCTCATTTCTGACCACTGTGCCTCATAGCCATGATGCATTAAATGGAAACACAGTTCTCAATACACAGACTGTTGTAAAAATTAAATGATACTGGAATATGTGAAGTGCTTATAACAATACCAGCACACAGGGGCTGCTCAAAAGACTTTAGGTATTATTATTGTTAATGCTAGTCACGTATACCTTATATTTCTGGAAAATTGCAATAATTCTGAAAAGTGTCTCATCTCAATATCTTTGTTAATATTCTTTGCTCTCCTTGAAATTTTCTATCCCAATTTCTGTCTGTACCCACTTTCTCTAGGCCTCAAAGTCTATTTTAAATTTCACAAATTCTTCAATGAAAATATGTTTCTTCTCCAAACTTTAAACTTTGTTTATAGACCCTCTCAGCATCTGCATATTCAGTTCATCTTATTTATGGAATCTTTGAAAATTAAGATTATATTACATATTCTTATTACTGTAATTCCCAATATCATCTTTATTCAAGAAAGTTGATACTCATTGTCTCAAATTAGCTCATGACAAAAGAATTATTTTATCAAATGTATTCTAAATATTAAACCAAAACTTTTTCCCTAGTCTTGATATTTTTGATATTTTTATTATCTCTGTTTTTGTCTTATTTCTTGTTAATTATTCTTATTTAATCTCTTTCTAAATTAAAGAGACAGCATTATACAAACTATCTAAAGGATCCTAAGCAAGATTTTGAATATATATTTTAAATTGATAATTTATAAATTTATTTTTCAATCCAAAATGTATTTCATAAATACCCAATAGGTATCTGGGACATGGAATAAATATTGGGGCTACATCAGGGCTATCAAAATGAATAAGACATAGTGTTTGTTCTCAAAGAGTTCAACATCTCCTGGGTAGAGAGGGATGGGATAGATTCAATTGAAGACTCAGGTAAAGTGGTAACGGAATTGAAAGTGTGTGATATTATTTTCATCTGAAAGAAACAATAAAGAATTTATGAGAAGATGTGGAACTTGGACTGTGTCTTGTGTGATGGGTTTGGATTTATTAAGCATTTGTTATTCTAGAGACAGGGAGAGACACAAGAATTGTCCAGTGAATGTAACAATTTGAGTGAAAGTGGTGCTAAATGTAAGATGTTTGACTTTATGGTGGTGTGAAAGCCAAACATATTCAGTAGAAACTGCATTTTTGCATTTTGAGTTTTGATCTCTGCCTAGGCCAATGATCTGTCATATAATAGAGACTCGTGATGCTGGGCAGAGGCAACCAGTTACAGCTTCATGATCGCAGGGAAGCAACCTTCTCTATAGAGCACTGTGCTGCTCTGCCATGATATTTGGTAGGTTAGGTGTGTTAAATGCTTTGACATCTTCACTCATGATAGGCTTAACAGGACATAATCCCACTGGAAGTTGAGGAACAACTGTTTATCTATTTGATGTGAAGACACAGGGCATGTGGGTAGGGGGATTAAGACGGACTGGGATATACAGTGGGTAGGATGGGAGGACAAAGAAAACAGAGTGAAAAAAACAGCTCCAGACAAGATGGCAGTCTTTAGATGTTCCTTGGGCTATTGTGAGGTCATCAAAAGGTCTAGATGCTGTCAAAGCTGCGTTAAGAAAGCTGTACAGAGAATGAACCACTGACTTGGTAGTAAAAGCACCTGACCTTGTATTTCCTCTGTAAATGTTTAAAGAAAATCTAGTTTGGGCACAGGTGTATTTCCTTGTCCACTGGCACTTTTTCTTTATAAGTGAGAAGCGGTTGCTTTGTAGGTGAGGATTGCCATTCGCTCCCTATCCAGAAAGGAATCACTCCAGTGAATGACCCCTGGCAACAGCCCACAAAGCAATCACAACTCCCAAAAGATTTCCACATAGGGCTCTCAGCCATTCTGATTCAATTAACATCTTTCCTAATTAGAAATACAGAGGTACAGGAGGTGATGCTTTAAATTTATTGCTCATTATATAGCTTTCCGTTTATTTGTTACATGAGATGACATATATGGAAGTTTGGCAAGCCAAATTCATGGAAAATTTGCTTTTATTCAAAAGGTCAGATACTTACCCTTGATAATTTTGTCACTTTAATATTTATCCCAGATTCAACATTTGCTTTGAAGACATTGTGCTGTTATGCCTTAAAAATTATTTCTGTGAAACTATGTCAGACTATTGTTGACAGTATTCCAAGTAGTCAATATCATAAACAGAAATTTAGGTCCCTAATTCAATTTAGAAAAATTTGAAAAATCTGTTGTATAGACACTCACCTCCAAAACAGAGCAAAACAACAAAAGAAAAAGGAATGCTTTGTCATTATAATTGAACTTCTAGACATTGTCATTGGTTATATATGACTTACTTTCTTTTTTTTAGAATTTTTAATATTTATTTTTTAGTTCTCGGCGGACACAACATCTTTGTATGTAGTGCTGAGGATCGAATCCGGGCTGCACGCATGCCAGGCGAGCGCGCTATTGCTTGAGCCACATCCCCAGCCCCAATGCTAACTTACTTTCAAAGGCACTTTCAATATATAAACTGAAAGTGTTATTTCAGCCCAAGGGAAGACCCAGACTGGCCTCCGACTCTTCTACCCCTCTGGTATTGCAGAAAACTGGCTCACCTGACTTTAACTGGACAGCTCACATAACAAAATGTTAAAGACAAATCATTGCTTCCTATACCTAACAGCTAACGGTACTGAAATAAGAAAAAAATACTTTGTACAAAAATAGTAAGAGAAAAGCATCTCAAAAGGGCTTTTAAACAACAGTGAAGTTGTCAATGTTGGGTAATAACATTTTCAGTAGAGATAGTAACAGAGACAATTCCTACTGGAAATATTCACAGGTATTAAGCACAGACACCCAAAGCAGGAGTCCCTAATCTAGGGCTTTATATCCTCTTCCTTTAATTAAAAGGGAGAAATGCTTCTATTTAATTTCAATAGAACCTGTGAAATGCTTTCATCATTTCATACACAATGTGATAAGAAACTAATACAGTTAATGGAAACTAGATTTTTCCCTTTTAGGTCAATAAAAATAGCTTCCATTTGCTGCATGTTTACCATATAAATGTTTCTCATAAATTATCTAATTTATTCCTCACACAGACATGTGTTTAATACTATTACATCCACTTTATAGGTAAGAAATTTGTGGCCAAACATGCTCAAAGATGTTCCCAAAGTTACAGACAATTAAATGAGAGACAGGGTTTGAATACAAATTAGTGTGATTCCAAACTTAAAACTATATTCCACACCATTTTATTGACTGTCCTATAGTAACCTAGTATGTGGTCTGTGGGGATGGAATTTAAAATAGTTCCTTAAATCAACATTGGCAGTGGGCTTCAGCTATATTTTCTGGGGTATCTCATTAATTGGGACCTTTTATTACTAAGACTCTGAGGTTTACTGCCATAATATCACCTTGATGCAAACTGAATTAGGAAAGATTCAGCTGGTTCAATTTGTAACTTCAGGGTTGCTTTTTCAGATTCTTAATTTAATGAATGTAACTGTTGGTGAGAAACAAAACAAAACTACACATGGAAATAGTTCTACCTATTTTTAGTCCCCGTTACTTGGTTGTCTTTGTTATGTCCCTTTAAAAAAAATCCTACTCTTTCTCCTGATCACAAAGTAGTGTAATTCTGAGGTAACAGCCCTTTATATCTACAGCAATCTTTTTGTGGCATGATTCAGCCATTTAACACTCAAATTAAGCTTAGTACCAGAATTTAAGTAAATATTTTACTTTAGACTGAGATCTCAGTGTATTCTACTAGGAAGACCTGCTTTGTACTTATTTTCTCATCTGGATGTGTTCAGTAGGTCTAGTAATTTTTCCACCCAGGGTCGTGCCTCCTTAGCTTACCTCATCCCTTGAATATCAACTAATGCCAAGGGCTACTTCTAGGGTTTGTCCTATCAGTTTCTAATTTAGGAAAATGGGCTGCAGTAGCCTTCTTGTTCTATTTATACATATCCAATACTTCTACACCTTTAAACCCTCAGGGATTCAAGAAAACTTCACGTCGTTGTGTTTTCTGCTCAGATTCAAGTCTGTCAGAATAACAATTAACTTGCATTTTAGACCCTTGTGTAAGAAGATGTCACTTCCTGGAAATGTTACTAGATGACAAAGCAAGTATCCACTGCTCCCTTAGCTGGGAATTCCAATTAATTGCTCATGACGTTCCTTTACATTTGTGGAAATTTTATAGAGAATATAATTTATTTCTCTTGTGTGTCAAAAAAGAAAAAAAAATTCTTTCATCACAGGAAAACATTTTTTTCCCATATGATCAGATTTCTAAATGACAGAAATACTTTTACCAGAAATACTTTTCTAGTTCAATATTTTCCTTTAGCTTCTTGTTGTTAAACTATTGCAAAAGTGTGAAAAAATGCGAAGTTTTTACTTAGGTACGCAAACAGTAGAGCAGGGAAGAAAATCAACTGTTTATTCTCTAACAAATACTTATAATTTAAATGCATTAAATATGAACTCAATTCTCATGAACTCATTAAGCAGAATACTGTTACTATCCCCTTTGTTTTAGTTAGTTTTGTGTTGCTGTGACCAAAAAACCTGACAAGAACAAATTAAAGGGAGAATAGTTTATTTTGGCTCATGGTTTCAGAGATTCAGTCCGTGTTGGGTGACTCCACAGCTCTGGGCCCAAGTTAAGGCAGAATATCATGGTGGAAGGGCACAATGGAAGAAAGCAGCTTAGGACAAGGCTATCAGGACATGGCTCTGCTCACCAAGGACAAAATATAAATCCCAAAGATACACTCCCAGTGACTTCCTTCAGCCATGCCCTGCCTACGGTTACTGCCCAATTAATCCATAAGTGGATTAATACACTGATTAGTTCAAACCTCTCATAATCTAATCATTTCACCTTTGAAAGTTCTTGCATTGTCTCATACATGAGCTTTGGAGGGACACCACATATCTAAACCATAACACTATTTTACAGAGGTGACTTGCTGGGAGCCATTAGCCAAGTAGGTATGACAATTTCCTTGCCAGCGTACCCCATGTTGCAGTGACATTGAATGTACGTGACCTTGCTCAAGGACCAAGGCAGATTAGGGTGTTCCCGGTTTTAAGATAATCGTGTTTAGGGCGTTCCCAGTTTAGGTTCCAGGTTTAAGGTTTAAGATTATTCCTGCTGGGAATAGGGCGTATCCTGCTGCCTGAGTTCCCCTTGAGTTCTCACGGGATTCAGACCGTATATTTTGGAGATAGAAGCCCAGTGGAAGTGGATTTGGGCAGAGAACGTGGATTTGGGAAGAGAACGTGGATTTCCCCAGAACGTGATTATAGACGGCTGGTGTGAGTTCGGGAATAAAGAGTTGCTGTTTGAATCTACAAGCTGTGTGGTGGCTCGTGATTGTGTGCCCAGCCAGACTGCGGCATTTGTGCCCAGCCAGACATTGGCAGTGACTAGTTAATATCATTAGACGAAGAGTGGTAAGATTCCTTATATAGC